GACCATGAAACGTAAAATTGACAGTGTAACCCGTCAGTTTGATCCTGCCTGGACTGTCAATGTACTATCAGCTCCAAATGAAACCAATGTGTTTTGGTTGTTAAAACATATCATATTCAGAGGTACCACATTGAGAAACACCAAAGCTAAACATTTTGTTTTAAATTAAAAAATTTCCTGGTTCTTAAAAATCACGCAATTGAATTTGTAATTGAAAAGCCTTATACAACCAGAGATATTACAAGTTGACAAATGTATATAATTTCCCAGCCCAGTCCTATTGTCACTCTATTATTTTGGCACTGTAGATGGAGACCTGTACATTTGTTGTTTTCAGATTAATTCCCCTTTAATGTGGATTAGGTTAAATCAATTGATACTGATGCATAAAAACAATCTCTGCTGCATCATCTTATCCATCTAAGCACAAGCAGTAAAAAAAAATTTACTCATAACAGACAGTTTTGTGCCTGAATGAAAGAACATAGAGCCCTCAGAACGGCGAGTAGAAAACATTGTTTCCCACCTATTTGGACTCTGGAAGCTGCACAACTACAACTGCAGTTAGAAATAGAAGAGGAGCAGATGACTGCTTTAGAAAGGGAGGGTGGGAGTGGCAGTGAGAGATTGGTAGATTGAGCCAGTGATGGAGGAGAGTTTAAGAAAGAGTGTGTGCAGTTGTGTGAGGTACTCTACAGCAGGGTAATGTGAGCCTGTGGACCCAGAGGGGACAGATCACCTGTAGACCCCCCCCCCAACTCTTTTCTATCAAACTCCCCCAACCCACAATAGCACAAGATCCACGAGTCCCATACTCCCACAAATGCCCCACCTTTCCAAACACCTGCATTCACATACACAGCTTAGAAATACCAAATTCATAGAAGTAAAGTCAGACACACACTCCTGCACGCAGAACATTTGCAGTTATGCACACTCACACCATTCCAAGGAGTTGGCAGGCCTATTAATACCACACTTCAAGGACTAAGGGATTGGGCATTGAGCCATAAGATGCTATCTGGTGACTGAAACACACTTGTGTCTCTCTTTCTGTCCTTAGGGTACTGCCTTTCACTCTGAATGCCAAGCTGAAAGGTTAGAATGGTTACATTCCCACAGCAAGACCAAGTTGGCCTTAACAGGGCTGTGGTCAACCTAACATGTGTATGTATTCATTTAAAAAGGAGAAGGGGCAGTGTAGTAAACCACATACTTTGAGTTAAAAGCTGCACTTTTACTCTGTCCTGTCAGAACCTTGAACACAAAATTTATTTAGTGGTTTTTCAAAACAGAGAATGATTATGCAACAAAAGCAAGCTCCTTGTAGTTTTGTGCAAATTGTTTTCATTCCATTAAACAGATGAGTCAAGATGTGACGTTAAATGGTCAATGGTTAAATAGCACAGCCGAAAATAGAGTAAGATAGTAACAAAATCTAAATTAATTTTGAACAGCTGGTATTAAATCATTAGCGACAGATGCAGGCCCTGCCCATATCAGCACTGTAGCTGCTGATTTTAGCATCACTGAGGATCACAGCTGTCTGCTCAAGTGAGATCATTAATATTCATAAAAATAAAAATTCAGCCAAGATGACAGCAGGTGTTATTTTTTAGTAGACATTGATATATGAGTTTGTGATCAAGGGAGTTCCAACAAGATCTAATTTCAGGATCTTTAACTTGCCTCTTCTCCCGAAATCCTTTTTATAACTGACGACTAAACCCATTTAAAACAATAAAGATGGTGTGAACTCATTATATTTACCCAGCCAGCGTAATTCATGTGGTACCTATAATTCTGCACATGTATATTGTGTTATTGTGGAAGTAACAAAGGTGGCAGTGATGTAGAGGAGGGATTAGGGAAGTTAAGACTGTGGGGAGGGTTTGATCCCAGGCCAGCCAGGGCACATGTCCTTCCCAAAGAAAGGCCTCTTAAGCATTAAACCATCAAAATTTTAGTAAGGGTGGGTAATTTGGGAAGGGAAACCACACCGTTGAGTCCTTTCTGTTGGCATCAACATGCAAAAAGAATCACATGAATGTTGGGTTGGAGGAAACTGTGTGGCATAGATAATTAGAAAGCCCTGACTATTTTTTGCTTGGCCTACAGCAGTGGAAATCAGCCTCACCGGACTGCAAAACAATCTCGTACACAGATGTCACACTGCGTGTCTTGTGTTACGTTTCAGAATCTAGTTTAATAGTCTGAGTAAGCATTAGTCATCTATGTACTAACAAAGATAAATCCTTAATACTATGTAGGACAGATAGGGAATGTTTTGCAGTACACATGAACAGATTATCACTGTAGTTGGTCCAATCACTGCCATCAGTGACATGTACGGCTGAAATTCCTAAACACTCCTTAACCTCCCACTATCCACATCATGTTTCTAATATGTTATGATTGGATAGTTATTGTGTCCACAGACCACCTCTGCAGCCTGCAAAGACAGTCACCATCAATTTATTAGTCGGTGCAAATGTTTATGTTATGCTCGCACTAACCCGAATATTAGCAGCCTGATTTGTTCCTGCAGCTGATTGCTGGTTTGGTCAGAAAGTGATTTGTGTAAAGAAGTAGGATGGCTGGATAGTACACTCCTTGTGGATTCATGAAAACCAAAATAAAAAAGTATTAAAAACAGCCACAGATGCATGTAACATTTAAGCCTTGTATCTTTTTAGACTTAATAGAGCTGTCACTTTATTTCAAGCTATACCTTAAATGCAGCTGCAAACAGATTTAAAACCTGCCATCCCCTCCTCTTCACCTACCAGCTGAATGTCAATTGTAATGGGAAAGCCTGTTTGATTATTAACTCTGTGCTTTTATGGCTTAAAGAGTAACTGTGGTCATTATCCACTCAGTGTGATGGCCATTAGTCTGTCAATTCCAACACGTTGTCTGCTATTCACACTCCACTGTGAAAGTAAACAGAGGGGACGCAGTGTGCTGGAGACTCGGGCCTATAATATGCTACTGCAACGTTTTACTCCTTTTCCTCTCTGCTTGACTGACTCTTCTTCTCTGTATCTACTGGTTGAATTAATTGTCTTAATTAATTGATTACCACCACTTTGATGCCAAAAATCACCAGTATTTGTTTTTGCTCTTGGTTCAAATGTACCCAAGTCACTGAATTCAAGCTTTGGTTTTGTTCCAAGTTTACTCCACTTCATGTTCCCATCCATTCACTCCTTCTTTTGCATGCATGTGCGCACACACACACTTACACATACACACCACGCCCCTGATAACCATCAGCTCCAGGGCACACTCCATTGTTTCAGCTCAGTGCTAATTACTTCAGGTTTTGACCCTAGGTTCAGCCAAAGAGCAGCAGAGGGGGATGGTGAGTATGCGAATGTGCGTGTGAGTGTGTGTGTGTGTGTGTGTGAGTGAGCAGACAGAAAAGTGTGTGTTGGGGGTAGGGTTGGCTGGGTGGAGAGGTCATTGCTGCTGCCAATCAATTGTCACACTGGATTCGCCTAAACATCACAGTATAATCCAGGAGGGAAAACACAGCAGCACAATGAGAGCAGTCAACCAGACTCCTGCTGATGTTTTCACGTTTACGCATTTATGCAAGTCTCTTGTCAACAGCAGCTCCATAGAAATACCTGACACATATAAGAATAAGAGCCATGGAAAGGATTAATACGAGTGCACAAAATAATTTGTTAGCTTGCTATACTCTGCTCATTTTTCTAGTTTGCTGTGTTAATTCCTTCTGTGTTGGGTCCTACTGGGTTGTGCCTTTGGGCAGAAGAAGATATTTATGGTTAAGAAAAAAAAAACACACAAATTTGCAATCCGGTCGCACTTCCTTATTGTGTTTGGTGCGTGTTTCTGGTTCATGTGTGGAATGTCAATACCAAATGATCTCGCCCAAATCCATTTGCTTTAAAGGGTTCTCACTGTGTCTATAAAGGTTGAGCTGAATATTATAACTATACTATAATATATAATACTAAAATAATCAGTTGTTTTTAAAATCTTGTTACATATGTCTCTGTTTTTTTCATTTAAACTCTCATCTAAACTCACATTAGAATATGGGTTCAGGTATTTGTAGTGTTTGAAAAGGTCCGTGGAACTGTTGAGTCTGATTGCACCTGGCAGAGGCGTTAACAATCTCAGAATTGTGCAAATCTCTTGGAAGAAAACACAAATCAAGTATTTGTTGAGCTTTCCTCCTCCCGAAATATTTGCAACAAATCCAGCCACTTTCTCACCCCAGTCCACTTTCACAACACAGAAAAGCCAAAACAACACTCTTCACTGCTAGTTTCATGCTGTAAAAGAGAAGTCCTCTCCTGGGGTGCCACGAGCAAACAAAACCCATCCAGTATGTGCATTCATTGCAATGCAAAACAGATTTCCAATGCTTCAGCATCACTTAAGGCCCTACTTTCAATTACAATGTCATGAGCACTTAGGGCTGACGGGCCTTTAGAGAAGGAGAGTGGAACCTGTGGTGAAGTTCCAGACGGGCTTAAAAGACCATTAGGGACTTTAAATATAAAATAAAAACACTCATACACACACTCACACTAACACACAAACACACACACACACACACACACACACTCTGAAAAATCTACTTTTCAGATGCTTATTTTCTAAAAATACAGCCAATAAAAACATATGTAAGCCACACCAGCCAGTATAAATACAGGTTCTGGATATTGTCAGAATTAGTTGGGGAATGCTCGCTGATTTTCTTTGCAGGAGGAAAGGAGAGGAGAGGAGAGGAGAGGAGAGGATGAGGAGAGGAAATTAAACAAGGAGTAGCGAGAATGCTGAAGGAAAGGAGAGGAGAGAGGAGGAGACGGGATAGTGGGAGAGGGGAGGAGATGAGGCTCGCTTTTCTATTTTTCCTCTTGGATCCCGCCCTTCTGGTCAGGGGTTGGTCAGGGAAACCCAACTCCCGCGCACGGATTGGTCGGCTCTCCTCTGGACGGGCGAAATAGTCTCTCCTCACAGACACAATAAAGTTTAGAGCTGGACGCTTGCAGGCAGTAGCGCAAAAGGAGACCGCTGCGCTTCTCCACACGGAGATACTAACGAGAAACCACGCAAGGAGGACCGCGGGATTTATACTAACGTGGAGGTTTAAAAAAAAACAAAAAAAAAAAAAATATTTGATGCACCTATTTATTTTAAGTGAAGGACACTTTGATTACGCACAGGTTCGCAATGATTCACTGCTTGCTTTCGATATTTTGAATCTATTGAATGGCTCGGAGTTGGATATTAAAGCCTCCGAAACGCACGGACTACACGCGCTCCGCTCCTGCTGGACTATAAACACGAGCTCCGGTTTCCAGGGCGACCCAAACCGAAAACTTTTCCTTTTCTTTGGGCGATCTGAGGAGGATAATAACTGTGCCAACATTTCCAGAGGGCAGCCGCGCAGCCCGCCGGGATGATGGTGTCTCTCAGCGGGGCAGCCTTGCTCGTCTTGTCCGGGCTGGTCGGTCCGCTCTGCGTGGCGCAGGCTTTCGGCGACGAGGTGGAGGAAATGACCTGCGACCCGATCCGCATCAGCATGTGCCAGGGTCTCGGCTACAACGTCACCAAGATGCCCAATCTGGTCGGCAACGTGCTGCAGTCGGACGCAGAGCTGCAGCTGACCACGTTCACGCCGCTCATACAGTACGGCTGCTCCAGTCAACTCAAGGTACTGATGTTGAGGACAAACACACACACACACACGCATAAAGTGTATACTGATATTAGGATAGAATAGATGGCGTGTTATTAAAAGCATGGAGCAGTAACATGCACACATTTAGGAGCACTGATCCTGGACTCCAAAAAGGCCCGGCTGAGTTGAGATAGTCAGCTATATTTGTGTGTGTGTGTGTGGAGAGAGAGAAAGAGAGAGAGAGGGGGGAACAGTGTGGTCCCAGAGCACATGACAGGGAGCTACTAGCAATAGTTGACTATTCAGTGAACTGTTCAGACTGATGGTGCCAGTGATACTGAGGAGCATAATATAGGTTGACCGCCACAGAGTTAAAATAAGTGGAGGACGGGTGGTGGGTGGGGGTCGTCCCTGTCTTCCTTCCTGTTGTGCCAGGCTGTCATGCTAATTTCAATGAAAATGCCCCCTCTGTCTGTTGACATTCTGAGTTCATGCCCCACACAGCAACAGCTGAGTCTTCAGTGCTACACACTGTACTGTCTGCTGGTTAACAATGGTGCCCTCAGTATCCTTAGACAAATGCTGCTTGTTTGCCTCATGCACCATGTAAGAAAAAAATAGATTGGTCTTATTCCATAGTCCCTAAGATTTTACTTTAGATTATAATTGAACAGACGAGTGACACAACTGAGATCACATTTGTGTCAGCGGATGGAGTTCTCAAATGGCACGTGTTCTTTCTCACACGTCATACCTAGACATCAAAACAAACAGTTTCTCAGATGCTCTTTAATGTTATTATTTTATGATAGTTTGTCCACTGTCGTCTCTGGAGAGGTGTGTGATTTGCGTGTGTGTGTTATTTGGACATGCTAAATTAATACACTGCTAAAGAGGCACTTGTGTGCATGTGTGTCAGAGAGGCAGACAGAACAAGGAGCAACTGCAGCATAACACCAAACTGTTCTCCTCCAGCTGAAAATTGTCCTGTAAGATTAGCTGATACCCCCTCTCCCTCTGCCTCTCTCTCTCCCTCTGCCCCCTCTCTCTCTCACACACATGCACGCACGCTAAAGAGGGGAAAGGGAAACCATATCCCCTAACATTTGCTCTAATGGGAGGCTTCCTGACTAGTAACCGGAGCAGCTTTTAGCAGTGAAGTGACAGCACTCAGGTTACCAACAGTCGGGGAAAACACCTAGAATGTGTTACATTACTCTCACTGGTAGAGTACTCATAAGTTACTGTGGGAAATATCAGAAATGGTATTGCATCTAATTTAATATTAAACTCTTTCATACTGTTACTGCAGCACAACAGTGTTTCATCAGGATAAATAAAGTCTTATCTTCTCCTATCTATATCTTCTTCTGCTTTCCTAAACCTTGCGTGAATTGGATCATGTGCAAACAGACAAACAGAACCTCCACTCACGCTCTCACAGAGGGCGATGTTGTTCATTTGTTAACTTTTTAAATCATTTAATGGGACGGCAAATTACTCGGGACAACTCCAATACGTGTGGTTCAGTCTGGGAAACAAAGATTCTCTATTTGTGGTAAGAAACTCAATACTGTCTCCAGGTCAGCCAGTCCGTTCCATTTGCAGATATAAAGCTGTGGTACAACCCAGATACTGATCAGAGAACAGTGTAACAAATTGGGTTTATAGGAAGTTCCCTTTGACTCAGATAACTGATTTTGATATCCCAAACGTCCCACACAGAGTAAGGATTTATTATGTCACAGTTTATACTCATAATTAAAAGACAAGTCTGTTTCTTTGCTAATGTAGGAACATTACTAACCTGTAGGTATGTAACGGAGTCTATAGCTTTAATTCTTCTATAATTTATTCATCATGGTTTTCGTTTTTATACCGCAAGATAAACACGGTGCACAGATGCACAATTTGTATATTTACTTTGCAAATAAATTCTCACAGAAAGTAAGAGTAGTATAATGTTTCTGTGTGTATTTATTTCCCAACCTTGACACCCTTCTTGGATTCATGTTTCATTTGGGCTCTGTTCAAGGGCTGATTTCAAGCTGGGTTTTCTCTATCGCTGGATCGTGGCTGCAAAGCCCAAAACATTTTGTTCTTATTATGGTCCATTAAATATTTTGGTATTTTTTAAATGAAAAAAAAAAATAAAATAGACAGAAACCCTCCATCCGTAACACATTTCAGTATTTAAAGTTGGCTATCACCCATTCCAAGCTCCTGGGGCGCATCTCTGTTTCCTTTACCTAAAGGTAGCCGAGTAAAATGTACTTTCTGCTTCTGTGTATTTTCATATCATGATCTTGGCACAGTTTTACACTCTGGCTTCAAACTGATTTTACTGTAAAGGCATGAAATCACTTAAAATTACAACCTTTTGTAGCCCCAGAGTACTTTTTCCCCTCGCATCACTACCACCTCAACCAGTCAAATGCAACTTCAGACTGTTCACTATCTTTATAACCCTGACTTAGATATCTATTTCAAAACCATTGCCATGGGACAGAGAAAACTGAGCCTTGGATTAGGGGGATTATGGTGCATTACAGGGCACATGCCCTCAGTGTAGTTAAGTTCAAAGATTGTTTTTAAAGACACAGAGGTGTGTGTGTAACCTTGGAAGCAGGTTAGTGTTGGCCGTGGTGTTTTGACTCAGGTTGTCAAGTTTCTTATTAGAAGTGAAAATAGAGACCCACCACTAGAAAAGGGGTGATGCAATGTACTGAAAGTAAAAGGCAGAAAAAGCAGCAGGATAGTGAGTGGTATATGCAAGTAGGTGGAGGATCCACATGTGCGAATACATGCTGTAGCCACCTACCATCTGTAATCCTGCTGTAATATATAGAAAGATTGGCCCACAGGGTAGTCACAGCACTGTTTCTTTAACAAACGCTACACCACTGACATGATTTACCCTCTGCTTCACTGTTTGCTTAACTGGAACAAAGTATATAAAGCAGTGCACTGAAATAGGACATAATATTAGATAACTCTTACACTCTCACTGGTCTTTGAGTGTCTAAGTTGAAACTGATTTTAGAATACTGTCATTTTCCCATCCTAAACATGATTCTCTCATTTGAATATATACACACACACATTATTGTAATATCTGCTCTTAAAACTTGCTCTGCAGTCACTCTTAACTGTATGCTATGTAATCTCATGACAGAATACATAATTAGTTTTGTACAAACATACTAAGAACAAAATTAACTTATCTTCTGTCTTTGTTTTCCTACAGTTCTTCCTGTGCTCGGTCTATGTACCAATGTGCACAGACAAGGTTCCCATCCCTATTGGTCCGTGCGGTAGCATGTGTCTTTCTGTGAAGAGAAAATGCCTCCCAGTGCTCCACGAGTTTGGCTTCATTTGGCCAGAGGTGAGTCACATCATCACAAGAACATCCTGCATAACAAATATAACTTCAGGATGTGGCTGAGTGATGTGGAAAAACAAGTGTAAAGACAAAATGCTGTTTCTTTAATTGCACACAAATAGTTCAAAAAGCATGTGTCACAGCCTTAACAGCAACCAAAATGCCATTTCCCATCATGTCTCCTCTTTAGGTGCTTAACTGCAGCCTCTTCCCACCTCAAAACGACCACAACCACATGTGTATGGAGGGTCCAGGGGACGAGGACCCACCCTACCAGCCCGTCCGCCATCCTCCCCACCAGGAGGAGTGTCAGGCCCTGGGATCTGCACCTGACCAGTACACCTGGTTGAAACAGACAGAGACCTGCACACTCCAGTGCGGCTACGACAGCGGGCTCTACCGACGAGGAGCTAAAGTTTTCACGGACGCGTGGATGGCCGTGTGGGCCGTGCTGTGCTTCCTGTCGACCACTCTGACGGTCCTGACCTTTCTGTTGGACTCACAGCGCTTTTCCTACCCTGAAAGGCCCATCATCTTCCTCTCTATGTGCTGTAATCTGTACAGTGTTGCCTACCTGGTAAGTGGGAGATTCATTATTATATTGTCCTATTGAAGTTCATTTGTTTGGGGGGAGTGAATAAAAAAAAGGCAAAAAACAGTGAAATAAAAAGTAAAGTAAAACTTTACAAAAGTTAATATAGTATGGACTATTTTGTTTATATTATTTTGTATATTTGAATTTTATATGCCCTATATTTATAGATACATGTGATAGAAATGTCTGGTGCCTTTTTAACAACTAACCGTGGACAAAAGATAAAAAATTAGCTAGACTAACTTTCTAGCATTATGTAGTTTTTTTTCTTCTGGTGATCAACAAGCTTCATCCCTGATAAATGAATAAAATGAAATAAATGAGACACAAAAGTTGACCCCAGAAAGATTTATTGGGTATTTTCCCTGAAATGTCTGTGAAATTCAACAAACCATAATAACCATAATTCACTACATACTGAGGATTAAATCATCTACTTCTTGCCAAAATGGAAAAGCCAGATTTTCAGTCTGATTGTAAAGAGATGACAATGTAGCTTATTAATAAAAATTCTCTACCTCTTTTTTTGTTTTTTCTTTCCACTGTCACTTTCTGTCCTTTCCTGCAGGTGCGGTTGACTCTGGGAAGGGAGCGTGTTTCCTGTGACCTGGATGCCGCGGCAGTACCGATTTTAGTCCAAGAAGGGTTAAAGAGCACCGGTTGTGCCATAGTCTTCCTCCTGCTCTATTTCTTTGGCATGGCTTCCTCACTCTGGTTAGTACAAACAAACTCACACACACACACACACACGTTTTTATCGTATCAGTCCTTCATGTCTTTGTCCTATTGTCATCAACTGTTGTGAATGGACTTTGGGGGAACAATTGGAACACGAGACTTGCATCCTGTTTTCTTTAAAGTCTAACTATCCTGTCTCATAACCTCTGTACTACATGGATTAATTTCCACATACAAAGGCAGCCTTTGTAAAAACAAAAAAAGCCACTTTTTGAGTGTGTGCTGTACTACAGTTGCAGTGGAAATACACTGCTGTCACAGCTCTTTTTCTTCCTTTTCACTTTGCCCTCGTTTTCCTGTTTGTCTTCACCTTCCCCTTCCCCTTTTGGAAGAGTAACGTGACAGTGACTCTTTACTCTGTGGTGTCATGATGAGAGAATTAAAATAGTAGACTATGTGTATCTGCCTGTTTCTTTTAAAGTTATATAGAGGGCATAGTTAAGTTTTGACTCCTGTCTCACTTGTCTTGGTTTTTTTTCTTTAAGGTGGGTGATCCTGACCCTCACCTGGTTCTTGGCTGCTGGACTGAAGTGGGGCCACGAGGCTATTGAAATGCACAGCTCCTACTTCCACATAGCAGCCTGGGCCATCCCAGCTGTTAAAACTATTGTCATCCTCATAATGAGACTAGTGGATGCAGACGACCTGACGGGACTCTGCTATGTTGGCAACCAGCAGCAGGAGGCACTCACAGGCTTTGTGGTGGCACCACTAGCCACATACCTTCTAATAGGTAATTACAACATAATAGTACAATCATTTTATCTATTTGTAAGCTAGCCTTACCTCTTTCTACTAAAAATAGAGTGCTTATACCTATATATCATATGCTAATACCTTTAACAGGTACAATCCCTCAGTTTTTTATTGCTTTCTCTATCTGATGGTCCTTATATGAATTTTGTTTTCCTTTCTGAACCTCAGGCACTCTGTTCATCTGTGCTGGCCTAGTGGCCCTTTTCAAGATCCGCTCCAATCTGCAGAAGGACGGCGCCAAAACAGACAAGCTGGAGCGTTTAATGGTGAAGATTGGAGTGTTTTCTGTTCTCTACACCGTCCCAGCATCCACTGTCATTGGCTGCTACCTCTACCAGCTCTCTCACTGGGGGGAGTTCAGGGCCAGTCCTCGAGACTCATATGTGGCATCGGAGATGCTACGAATCTTCATGTCACTGCTTGTAGGCATCACATCAGGCATGTGGATCTGGTCAGCAAAAACACTCCACACCTGGCAGCGCTGCTCCGCCCGCCTGCTCAGGGACAGCAGGGCAAGCCGAGGGGGCAAGAGGGCCCCGGGCGAGGGCTGGATCAAACCTGGGAAAGGCAACGAGACAGTGGTGTGAGGAGAAAGTACAGGAATGGACTTCTACCTGCTCCTCTCTCACAAACTGACTCTGCCAAAGGAAAGATGGAGTGGGCAGAGAAGAGAGATGAGAGGGAGATGAGCAATGTGGCAAAGGAGCGAAGCAGGAGTTTCTCAAGGAAGCCACTGGATGTAATGGCATCATTAAAGCTCGCTGAGAGTCTGTAAGCATGCCTCATCCCCCTCTAACCGGTCCTGTGCCTCTTAAGTGGAGGATTGGGTCGAACACAAGTAGCAACAGTAGCCTCTCTACCTCTGTTAGACTTCTTTTGCCCAGAGAAACAGAGAAAGCAAAAAATGAAGGAGTAAGAGAGACGGGAAAGGCAGAACAGAAGCATCGATATGCAGACAGATACACCAATAAGCTGTGTAGCACGACGTCTACCTCTCTGTCTCTCTTTTCTCCAGAGCCCTCAGCAGGAAGAGACAGAACCTGCTGGATACAGTAATCCTTATACCATTGTGTCTTTTAAGGGTCTTTTGAAGTTTTGAATTTTACACTGGAGGGTCCTGGTGCAGATATTATACAGATGTAGGTTGACGTTTCCCAAAAGCATCTGGCAACTGAAGTTCTCATAGGTTCTCATGTCCATACGGGAAGATAAAAAACAAAACAATTAAACACCAGACCAAAAGTAATTAATGTGATGAAAACATATCAAATATGGCCTCAAATCTCTGATGTGTTTACATTTGAACATTATAATACATTTTTTATAAATTATTTCTTTTTGTACAATACAAAAGATCGGGTGATTTTATTGCTCATAAAGTTTTGGGAAACCGGCTCTAAGCTGCAATAATGCACTATAATTATATACAATATGTGAAGTGTATGTGCTTGTCACAAGTGTATTACCAAGGATGGCAGTGATCAGACTAATAACAAATCATTACACAGTACATTAATATGCAGAGAGCCTTTAGCAGGGAGAGTTTGGTCAGTTTTCAGTATGAACGGTGAAAAAAGAATAACTCTGTAGTTAAAATCAATTCACAATCACTTTTTGTACAATTATTTCAAAACATGAGAGATTATTTTTTTAATCTGTTTTGTACATTTGTAGGTACAGTGTGTGGTAGCTATGAAGTCATACCACAGGGAATCCTGGGAGTACCCCAGCTGTGCCTTTTATTGACCCATAAACGTGGAAGCGGCAAGGCGTCTGGGAAATGTAGGCCTGTGTGTTTTACCTCAGTAGCCCATGAGAAGCTCAGCTAACTTCCAGTGATGTGTGCAGTCTTCTTGGAAACCCTGTACTGTATATACTCTCAAGTTACCATGAAATCCAGGAAATTAAATTATTCCCTCTGCCTTTCTTTCAAAACATCAGACCCAAGGCAGGTTCAAGAATTAGGGGTTATTAGACAGTCACTTGCCAAAAAAGACATTATGCAATAACAAAGAGCTGTTGCAGACATATGCACATGTACGCAGGTATACACACATATGAATCAGTTCCCATGAATCTCACCCACTGGCTTCTGAATGAATAAGTTATGATCATTATCACCAAAGGAAACACCAATAATAAGAGACGTTGTCTGCCTAATTTTGTCTCTTTGCCGCCTATCGCTCAGTTTATTCTTAAATCACTTTAGTTTGATGAAGCCATCACAGAAGCACAATGAAATTGGCATTATTAACTGGTGTGTCAACTCAGCCTGCATATCTGTATGTCTGTCCCATTTGTCTGATGCTCTCATTGGCCCACTGCCTGCCTGTTTCTCTTTAACCTTGTCTACTGCATCATGGCTCATTTCCCAGACAATCAAGTCGTCCCTGGAAAAGATTATTGTAAATTTCAGAATTTCATGGATAATAGCGACTATTTCTTTCTATTCACTGTCTCCAGCGGTGCATTTTGCTGATAAAAGGCAACTGCCACTATTTTAATCTCTCTCAATAACTGCTTATAGAACGTCCTATAAGCTTTAATTATTCCTGGTCCATCATGTCTAACTGCTGCATTCACCAAATTCTGCAACCACTCCTGTGTTCCTTATATTTGCCTGACAATCTATCTAGCAAAGCTCTTGCGTTTCAGTCTTTGAATGTATAATATTTGGGGCGTGTGTCACATTACGCCTTCTACATGTAAGTAGAGTGAAGGAAATTTGGTTCTGGGCAATTTAAATGTATATGGGCTTAAGTAATTTGGAGCTTTGGCCCAGTGTGTGTCATTTGAAACCAGATAGTGCCTCACACAGCCTGTCACAGCTATTTTTTAACTCTGTTGAGAATGTGAAAGAATATCGGTTTTACATTGTGGGATGCCGTTTTCCAAAATATGTTAAGTGTAACAGCACTCTTATTGCATTCAAAGATACTTTTGGTAATCCCGGCAAACCCAAGAACCCTGAACAGCCAGTGTTTCTCAAACCAGCACACCATGGCACACTTATTAAATTTCCAAAGTAAAACAAACATTACATTGAGTTAAAGTGAATTAAATTAACCTCTGACCACCTCCCCTCAGAGCTAATGCAGTTTCCCTCTTAAACTGTCTTAATGTCTTGGCCTTCTCCTCTCATATGACCACACTGAGCTTCAGGTGACATTTCCAAACAATCACTGAATAGTTGTGCCTTTTACAGATGGCGAGCATGTGCCACGGCCTAATGAAGATTGAGAACCACTGGCGATACAGATTTGTAAATGCTTTTGTGAAGCCCAGATATGAATAAATGTTGGGGGAGTGGTTCACCAACACTGATCGAAGCCTTTAAGGTTGAGACTGATCCTCTGTGTAGAAATCTTGTTGTCTTGATGATGTCATCAATGTATTATAAAGAAATTGCTAATTTATCCTTGTAAAAAAATGACAAAAATTGTAAAACTTGTTTGTTATTTAAAATACTTTTGTATCAGAAGATGATAAATAAAAACTTTTTGGTTTCCAATATGTCGATGCAATTTTATGTGTGCGTGCGCAATAGGTCTGCAACGTATTGTTTTTATAATCAATCTGTAGATTTATTGTGATTAACTAATCTTTTAACCTATAAAATGTCAGAAAATAGTGAAAATGGACATTCCGATGTCATAAAGCCCAACGTAAAATCTTTGAATGTCTTTTCTTGTCCAAACAGAGTAATTAAAAGCAGAAATATTTGGTTTACTATCACATTAGACAAAAAAAGCAGCAAATTCTCACATTTGTTTGGGGTGGTGTTTTTTGCTTGTAAAACGATAAATGAATTATTAAAGTAGATGCTGATCAATTCCCTGTCAATCGACTAATCGCGTCATCTTCAACATCTAGTCGGTGTCATGGATTCAGAGCAGGCATTAATGGTGAGGGGTTAATGAGTGATCCTGCTTCACTGTGTCATGTATAGACATTCCCATGTCTCTAACAAGCCACTACTGGGCAGTTGAGAGTGTGAGTGAATGAACGAGTTCTGGGTCCATCTGCTCTCAGTTGTGTTCATTTAATGAGTTGAACAATGCTGCCACCTCTTGTCTGATGAGGCAAATGAAGTGTTGGCTCTTCATGAGCCGCTGAATTGCTTGCAGCCTCTTAAACCAGCTAACTCTACACATCTATACAGCAGTGACTCTGTTTTGATCTCTTTTGCGTTTCTTTTTAAAAGTTACTCTGGGTTAGGATACGAAAGCGCTCCATAACCACTTAATTTGTTTTGAATCCACAGTGGAAACACAGTGATTATACTGTGTAAACATACTGTACCGTCGATCACATCTCATCAGCTATGAACTTACAACCTCCCAAACACACACACACACAAACACTTACAGTACAGAAACATTCCCAGAAGCACACACACCTCTTCTCACTTCAAAATTTGTTGTAATTTGGTTTTACAATTACACTTAATGCATGCTAGGCTGTAATTTACCAGCGCAGGGGTAAAATTGCTTCTGGAGAAACTGATTAATACCGGGCATGCTTGAGTGTGTGTGTGTGTGTGTGTGTGAGCAAAAGAGGGAGAGTCCAAATATCTAAGACTGCAGCTCAGATTGCCTTCCTGTAATTTACTGTGAGTGAATTGAGTGTTTGTTTAAGAATTCACTCAAAAGCCTGAGGTAGTCAGTTGTTAACATGCTTGTGTGTATTAATTAGATGAGTTGGTGGTGTGTTTGTGTGGTGTGCGCGTTAGTAGGCAGCACATCTGGAAGACACATAGAGCAGTAAGATGCTGCACTTTCC